TCCCCTCAATTTCAAAATCCTTTAATTACACGGTACCATCTACCCAAGAAAAATACCAATCTTAAAGTCAATTAAAGCTATGTGAGACATTTTTAGGGCAAGAGGTAGCTTTAACAGAAGGAAACCAGAGCTACCAGTTTCATAACAGGCTGAACGTGTTTCACCCAAGTCACCTTTGTCCTACATGCTCACCTCTGACTGTCCTCTAGCATCTTCATTGCCTCCTTCAAGTTTTTTCCCATTTCAGCTAATGTGGGATCTGCTATCTGAGAAACAAACCAGAAAAAGGTTAAATTTTAATAAGCCCCTATGACCTCTACAACATAATTCATCCAGAAAAATTAAATGTATGTCCATTTTCTTCTGGATTATAAAATGCATGGTTTATAAAGTACATGCATGATTCTCAAACGTCAAACAATATAAAAGTATAACAGAAAAATATATACTACTTTCTACTACTATTGATAATAGTTAGGTATCAATCCATGTCTTTATGTCCACCCCACTTCATAGTAGAGAATGAAGTACCATAGTTAATTTAGCTAGTCCTGAATTAATACAGCCTTAGCTTATTCCAAGTTTTCACTATTAGAAACAAGTTCCAGAGAAGTGTATGCAGTATGGTATTTGTTTTACTATTGCAGTAGAGTGAAAAATGCACTCCCCTCCCAAAGAAAGTCACATCTTAATCACTAGAACCTGTATTACTGTACATGACAAAGTCTTTGGACGTGTGATTAAATTAAGGCCCTTGAGATGGTGAGATTACTCTGAATTATCCAGGTGAGCCCTAAACGTAATCACATGTATGAGAGAAAAGGACAGGAGACTTCACACACATGAGGCAGCCAGAAGACAGACTATAGTTTTGAAGATGCTGGCTTTGCAAAACTGGAGTCATGCAGACACAAACTAAGGAACACTGGCACACACCACAGGCTGGACCATGTGAGGAAGGAACTCTCCCTAGAGGCTCTGGAAAGAGTTTGACCCAACGCTGTAATTTCTGGTCAGAGATACTGATTTCAAACCTCTGGCTGTTTTAAGCTACTCAGGTTGTAAAAATGTGTTTCAGAAACCACAGAGAATTAGTATACACATGGAATTGCAAGTGCTTCTATACACTACAGTGGAAGCTACACAGCTGGGAATAGTGACTGCCTCCAGAGAAGGATCTAGGAGAATGGAGGCAGGGACGGATCAGAGGGAGTCTTTTCAGTTCATACCCCTGTGTTCCTTTTGAATTTTAGTACCATATGTACATCTATTTCTCATCCAAATGTAAATGAAATAAAAATTTAAAGATCTTTGCAGATTTAAAACACACATTTTCCTTTCTTTTTAAACTCTGTAGCATTTTTTGGGGGGTGGGGGTAGAGACATAGTCTTGCTCTGTCACCCAGGCTGGAGTGTCACCCAGGCTAGTGTGATCATAGCACACTGTAGCCTTGAACTTCTATGCTCAAACGATCCTCCTAAGCATCTGGGACTGCAGATGTGCATCACCAAGCCTACCAAATTTTTAAAAAATATTTTGTGGTGATCAGGTCTTGTTATGTTGCCAAGGTTAGTCTTGAGCTCCTGGCCTCAAATGATTCTCCCACCTTTGCCTCCCAAAGTGCTGAGATTACAGGCATAAACCACCACATCCAGTCCTAATTTCTGTCTCCCTGAGCACCTAGCATAAGCTTTGGCGTAAAGTAAGTGTTCAATAAGATTTATAATCTTTAATAATTACTAATACTGAGTTTCTTATTTATCAGGCATTATGCCAATTAACCCCTTTATACACATTATTTCCTTACTAACCCCAAATCACAGTTAATATGACTTAGACCCAGAATTTTTGTATTTTTATTTTTAGGGACAGGGTTTCACTCTGTAGCCCAGGCTAGGTTGAATCCTTGAATCCCAGGGTTCCAGCAATCTTCAGTCTCCTGAATAGCTGGGACTACAAGAACACATCACCACACCTGGTTGATTTTGTTTGTTTGTTTTTGGAGGAGGCACAGAGTCTTGTGCTGTTTACTAGGCTCAAGTGCAGTGGCATCATGATAGCTCATTGCAACCTCAAACTCCTGAGCTCAAGAAATGTTCTTGTCTCAACCTCTCAAGCAGCTGAGACTCCAAGCACATACCACCACAGTCAGGTAATTTTTTTTTTGGTAGAGATGAAATTTCATTATTGCCCAGGCATTTCTCAAACTCCTGGCCTTGGCCTCCCAAAGTGCTAGGATTAAAGTGCTGGGCACAGCCTAGACCCAGACTTTAAACATCTTTACTACTCTAGAACCAGGGCTCTTAACCACTAGGCAATATTGCCTATCAATTTTATCAAATAAGTAAAGGAAGCAACTCACACCATGTAAAAACTCTGTACTCAAAAGTCATAATTAGAACTAAGATTTAATTTTAAAGATTATCCTTAAAAAAAAGATTATCCTTGATATTTTCAACTAGAAAAAAAATGACTCTCCCTACAGAGAAAATTTCTACTCAATAGTCTCAACTATTACTAAATGGCGGTAAACTCACCATGCAGACCAGTGAAATTTTTTCTCCTCTTCCCCCAACCCCCAAATTGTGTACATTCATACATTTTCTGATTACAAACTGATACCCATTGCTGAGAATGAGATTTTAGAAACAGATACATCTCTTATTAGGCTACAAAATTTTTTTTTTTTTTTTGAGACAGAGCCTCAAGCTATCCCCCTGGGTAGAGTGCTATGGCATCACAGCTCACAGCAACCTCCAACTCCTGGGCTCAAGCAAGTCTCCTGCCTCAGCCTCCCAAGTAGATGGGACCACAGGCACCCGCCACAATACCCGGCTATTTTTTGGTTGCAGCGGTCTTTGTTGTTTGGCCGGTCTGGGCTGGATTCGAACCCGCCACCTTAGGTGTAAGTGGCTGGCGCCTTAGCCATTTCAGCCACAGGTGCTGAACCTATGCTACAAATTTATAAATTAGATTTCAGCTACAACTGATTCTCCTGCGTAATGAAGTGGGTTCAGTAGTTTTGCTACAACTATATCTAACACAGCTGCATGTGTGGTATGACGTAATTTTAAGGTTTCCAAGGAGAACAGTTCAATTGTATGCTAATTTACAGAACTGAGACTTTAAAAGGCAATTCATTTTGTAAAATAAACCCCACTGATCATATCCCTGTATGAGCATTTTTTTCAAAAATTTTATGAGATGATTTTCAATTCTTTGTCAATATGAGATATTAAAATACTCTGCCACTATCACAATGAGAAACATTACACATGTAATGTTAAAATTACTTAAAGTTCTCACAATTACTTATTTATTTATTTATTTATTTGCAGTTTTTGGCCAGGTCTGGGTTTGAACCTGCCACCTCCGGCATATGGGGCCAGAGCCCTACTCCTCTGAGCCACAGGTGCTGCCCCAGTTCTCACAATTTAAATGTTGGAAGCAAAAGTGTTGTATGCAAAGTAAAGCAGTAAAGATGATCAGAGGACAATTCTCAGCTTTTCAAAAAGGCTAGTAAAAAACTAAAAACTTATTTGGAATAAAGCTATATAGATTAATTTAGAAATTATTTTTGCTTTTGCCTAGAATTATAGGTGTATCAGCATAGTATCAGGTAGCACTAGTATAATTCCTGTCATTATTATTTGGAATACATTCTATTTTGTCCTATTTCATTCTTTAATGAGACATGATAATTATACACATCTCTGAAGGTTGAAGTGATATACTGTATTTTTATTTTCTTTCTTTTTTTAAAGAGATGGGGGTCTCACTCTGTTATCAATGCTAGTGACTAAAGCTCACTGCAACTTCCAATTTCTAGGCTCAAGTGACCCTCCCACCTCAGCCTCCTGAGTAGCAGAGACTACAGACACAAGCACCACACTCAGCTAATTTTTTTGTAGTGACATGGTCTTGCTATGTTGTTCAGGTTGGTCTTCAACTCCTAGTCTCAAGGGTTCTTCCTTCCAGACCTCCCAAAATGCTAGAATTACAGGTGTGTGCCATCATGACCAGCTATATTTTCATTTTTTAAAAACTGCTGGTCATGACCTGCTGACCCAGCGGTTCTCAACCTGTGGGTCGTGATCCACAGGAACTGTATTAAAGGGCTCTGGCATTAGGAAGGTTGAGAACCACTGTGCTAAACTAATTTATATCCCATATATAGGATACAACCTGCAGTTTGCATAAAATATCATTTTAATGGATGTTTCCAGTTACTAATACTAGTATAAACAACGACTTATTAATAAATAAAGTCTATTAATTAAGTTGTTTATCATGACCTTCCAAAAGCAGAAACTGCAGTAGTAAAATAATAAAAGGGCTGGGCCGTTGGCTCACACCTGTAATTTTAGAACTCCGGGAAGCTGAGACTGGTAGATTCCTTGAGACCAGGAGTTTGAGATCAGCCTGAGCAAGAATAAGACCCTGTCTCCATAAAAAAGTAAAAAAGTGATCTGGTTTTTGCGGCAAACCTATACTCCCAGCTACTCAAAGACTGATGGAAGAGGATCACTTGAACCCAGGAGTCTGAGGTTGCAGGGAGCCATGACTACACCACTACATTCTATCCGTGGCAAAAGAGAGACCTTGTCTCAAAAACAAACAAAAAACCAAACCAACAGATCAAACCTACCAAAGCAAGAAGACTAAGTTCCAAATTGCTATTTCTACTATACTAACAACTACTCTTGCCTTTCACAGCCTTCTAAATAAGGTTAATTCTGAAAAGTAACAATCAAACTTCATCTCTCCAGGGAATCATTTATTTTCCTCTTAGGTGAAACAGTACCTGCTGTACAGCACTAATTAAACAAAGGCCTCAAACACTGCATTTCTATTACTTATCTCCAAGAAGCCACACCAACAAAATGACAGCAGCTGCTCCAGGAACACTACCTTGTTCCTTATAGGTCAATGATGACAGAAAAGGTTAGGAATTCTCTAAGTTGATACAGTGACCTGCAAATCCAGCTTACCTTGTTGGAGTCACAATTTCTACATTTCTAAGTATTTTTGCCTGATTTCCACAGCACAGGATTTAATTAAGAACCAGGTACTTTTGTCTCCTCCCATCTTCTAATTGAATACTCCTTGAAAATCAGACGTTACCCAGGATTACCCTGATACCAAAACCAGACAAGGACACAACAAAGAAAGAAAACAACAGGCCAACATCACCAATGAACATAGATGCAAAAATCCTCAACAAAATATCCTGGACTGTATGCTTGAGTGTATCTGTGAGAACAT